CGCGTTACGATTCCAGTTTTGACGGGTAAAAAGTGTTCTCTTCTTGATCTCTCTCTCTCTCTCTCTCTCTCTCTCTCTCTCTCTCTCTCTCTCTCTCTCTCTCTCTCTCTCTCTCTCTCTCCCTCTCCGTCACTCTGAGTGTCTCTTTGTCTCTCTCTCGCCCTCTCTTTATCTGTCATTCTGTCTCTCTCTCCCTCTCTCTTTGTTTCTCTGTCTCTCTCCCTCTCTCTTTGTTTCTCTGTCTCTCTCCCTCTTTCTGTCACTATGTGTGTCTCTCTGTCACTCTGCGCCTCTCTCTCTTTCTCTGTCATTCTGCCTCTCCCCTCTCTCTCTCTGTCACTATATGTGTTTCTCTATCACTACGCTTGTCTCTCTGTCTCTTTCGGCGCAGGCTATACAGCACAGAAATCCTCACTCACACTACACGGATATCGTAATGACGCGGGGCGTACGTCTCTGTCGACTGACAGCCAGAACGCAAGAGCGCCATCACATACGGACTACCTATAAACCACCGATTCTACGGAGACAATCGACTCGTCTCTCTCTCTCTCTCTCTCTAAGACCCCCTCCCCCTCTCTCGCTCTCTTACCCTTATCGAGAGTATTTTCTACGAAGGAAATCCCGTGAAGAAAACCCCACCAAAACAACGATTAGGCTAAACGCCAACTCTGACAAGCGATTCGAAAAACAGAGGCAAACTAGAAAGCGCCTATCCTCGCGAGAGATTAGGAAGGACATCAACTTTTTTTTACCTTTTTTCTTCCATCTCTCTCTCATAACGGAGCGCTTCTTTTTTGCGCGGTATGCAATACACAAATTACAGCGTTCCGTCAATCCGGCATCGCACTGCGCCGCTACTGTTTTGCCTTGCGAAAAAACAGCAGAAAAAGTTGCTTTCTCATCGATTCTGGAAGCGAGAAATTGGTCGCCGCTTATCAACAAACCATTTATCGCGTCGGCGCGTGCACGCTTACTTACATGAGGTGGAACAGTAGGCGAAGCAAACAAGTCCTTGACCGTCCGGGGACTGGGCCCTTACTTATCCGTCTGTCCGCCTCTCGCCCTCGCTCGCTCTGGATCTCCTTTTCTCCCTCGCACGTTGGGCAGTCTCAGCTAATCCAGGCGACTCCTCAGAACGGTGAATTCAGTTGGCTGACAGAGAGCACGAGAACAAGAACCAGCCGAATAACTGCACGGTGAATGAGATGTTGGCTCGGCTCTCATCGCTACCATGTGTGTGTGTGCGTGTGTGTATTGCGCGGACTGACAAGGGTCGGCTAGGCTTGTTTTGGGTGAACTCAGGCGTTCAGTTATGCCGCATGAGCTCCGTATACATGCACGAACCGGCTAGGTCAACCCAGGAAATTTAATTGCCGTTATAATGCACATGCACGGGGACCAATGCGCGGCACGTACGCAGGTAATGCGCACAAGCGAGGATGCGTACAGTGAGACGCAAGCGGGCGCGTTAACTAGCCAGTCATTGGTCTAGCAGGTGAGTCTGCGGAGAATATAGGGCAGAAGCAGGCGGTCACGAAGTGATGCGGGGTAGTGACCGCGGCATCAGCCTCCCGATCGTTCCTCGACCAACGGGTGTGGTCGTTCTCACAATCCACCTGGCAGAAACTTTTGCACAAAATGGCTGCACGAAAAATTGCAATTAGTCGCTGATAACAAACTCTGGTTTACTGCGGCAAAACGAAAAACTCAAACATGTAAAGGCTCAAATTATATAAACTCCTTATACTAGCTCTCACAATTTTGTTGTTATATATAATATATATATATCTATATATTAGTCGTAAGGTAAATTCCGAGTGCGTTTCTGTGTATATAAATAAACGAGTGGTAAAATACACATGCAACCCAATAACGAGGCATTAATAGGATTAACGTGTTTAAATAAAAATCGATTTCTAGACGAATCTATATGCATCGAGATCACAAGCCGAAAGCAATTCTGTTGTTGTGAGCTGTAAGAAAAATGGTTGTTTTCAAAGCCGCATTAATCGCACTTTAAAAATAATAGATTATAGAGATAATTTAATCCTGTTAATACTTCGCTGTGCCTTATGCAATATATTATATTATATGCAAAGATAATATATGCGTTCCATTTAGTTTTTTTTTCGTGATAGGTTAAGAAGAATTTCGAATTTCTCTACAGGAATTAATAACCTTTTGGGGTTTCACACTTTTTTCTATAGAACCCCACACAGTGGTTTGACTAAAAGTAAGGATAGCTAAAGTATGCTATAGCTCACAAATATCCATCTATCTACATGGAAAATTTCTGCAATTCAGCATGTACATACATAACATTTCACGTTTTTACAAATGGATAAAAAAATAAACTAGCAGAAAATACACAAAATATTCCGTAGATCAGGAAAATAGATTACGTACTATTAATTTTTTTTTAAATTGGTATATTTCAGCACATTTGTGAAAACTTTCCTTCAAAATCTACATCATATATTTCTCTCTATTCAACCTTTAACATTGATTAGCAACATCGCTTCTTTTTATTGCAACATACTGAGTTTTAAGCACATAAATTACAAAATAAAACGTTAATGTTAGCTTGTCTTTTTAGTGTCTGATAGTGAGAGATAATGTGCATACCAACGTACGATACGCGACCAGTGTCGTGTAGTACTTGCATACACACGTGGGCTTTACTGGGATATATGACACTCGTGCGCTTTCCTCTTTATGGCCTGCAAAAACAGATCAATCAATTATTCTATTATATTGTCGAAATTAGCGAAAGCTTTATGAAGATGAATATACTGTAGATCTGTGCAGGAATAGACGCGGTGCCGTTGTTGCTGCGGTTAAAGCGATCTCACGTTAAGAAATCTAAAATAGACACCAATAATGTGCAATGTAAGGGCGGGTGCATGGTAGCTTTTGAAACGCACAATTTTTCACGATTTTGGAATCGTACAATGTTGGTAATGATATATTTTTGCTTTAAATCGGGTCACGAAATCTAGGTCAGTCTGAAACAAAAAAACGTCTGTACATACAACCTCTACATACCGAAGACGCACATTTTAGTTTAATTTTAGTTTTAATAGCATTTTAAATTAAACGAAGATGCTTAGATCGTGTCACTTGTTGAGAATATCCTATTTCGAAAATTTATCATTTTGAAACAATAACATGCGGACAAACAAATATAGCAAATATTGATTACTCATTATCGAATTAGCAGTAACTAGATAAGGAATCGCATAGATAAATAATGCACTTTGAAACTATATGCCGCACTGATAAAGCTTTCTTCCTCCAAATAAGAATTCCTCCTAAAAGAACACTTTAGCGATTGACGCTATACGATAAAGAGAAAGCACGCTATACGAGCACGAGAAATGTGAGTCGGTGTTTGTTTGCCCCGAGTTGCCGAGAAGGGAAATTTAACTAAACGTTGCAATCGGGTATATACAAGGTTTTTTCGTGGTTTACTGATCTTTATGCTAGGGGCACACGAGCGTATTTTATCGCCCGATCGCGGCGATTAAAATCGCCAGCGAATTTAATCGCCCGATCACGAAGGGGCACACGTAGCGAATTTAATCGCCCGATCACGAAGGGGCACACGTAGCGAATTTGAGAGCGTACGCGTACGCCACTCGACGGAATCACATGATCACATGATGCATCACATGATATCAACAACACGTCCGATTGGTTTAGAAAAATTTATCGGGCGACAAAATACGCCGGTCACGGGCACACGGGCGAATTTGCCAGTAAATAATCGCCCGAAAATATCTAACATTTTGGATACGGGCGATTCGTACGGGCGAGTAAAATCGGCGTCGACGTGAACGGGCACACGCGCGAATTTTTCGAGCGATTTTAAAATTCGCGGCGATCGGGCGATAAAAATCGCTCGTGTGCCCCTACCTTTAGACTATCCTGAACCGGAATCCACCGGGTGCCGCTCTGACACCCTTGAGCAATTTTTTTTATCACAAAAAATGCAGATCGTATATTTCCCATTTGAGTGCGTATACATTAAGGGGGTAGGCATGCTAAACTTGCAATAACCTCTGTAATATTCGGTTAATCCTCAAACATCTGGTATTGTTTTGCTCATTAAATACTCGTGAATAATTTCCCCGGCACCACTCGCATGTAGCTCGCACGCACGCTGCTGCGGTGGTGGCGTTGTCGTGGCTTCTAGGGTGAAACGAGCAGCGTCTACGGTTTAATTCGAAATTTCTACGTCACAATCACCTGTAGCTCGCTCGCACGCTGCCGCGAGGTGTAGGGGGGGGGGGTCGAATTGTCGTAGCTAAAAGATGTGTAATGAAAGATGTGCAGGATTGTAGCACGTGCACTCGCCTCCTTTTAGCTAGACGACATACACTGATCTCATTCGCAAATAATTTCAAAGGAAGTTTAACTGCATAACGAAATCGCATTTCCAAACGTAGCTTATTTGTAATGATCATTGCCATTAAACGCACGCATAGAACTAAAATACGAAAAATTACCCGATGGAAAATATCCGTATAGGCCTAGCATGCATACATACTCGTAGAGTACAATCACACAAGATGAGCATTTACAAGGAAGGTCTTTATTTGCATAGCCTTTCTGTATATGTTCGATACACGTGCAATAGCAATGAGTCAAATATGGTTGCTGCTATAGTTGGCCATATACAGGTATAGATATTGCTAGATAGGCCACAAAACTTGAAACTAATCTTGATGCCTTTCCAACTAACTCTTCCTAAATATCATCAAGCCACGCACACACACACACACACGCACGCACGCACGCACGCACGCACACACACACACACACACACACACTCACACTCACACATACACAAACGCGCGCGCGCGCACACACACACACACACACACACACACACTCACACTCACACATACACAAACGCGCGCACACACACACACGCACGCACGCACGCACGCACGCACAGACTGTTGGCTGCCAAAAATAAATACATAACATGAATACACAAAATTCAGACACTTTAATATTATCAAACTCTCGATTGTCTAGAATAACCTTGCCACCATTCTCATAACCGTGAAGGCTATGAGCTCTACCTCACCAGGTTCTTGTAAATGTAAATAAAACAAAGTCCAGTCAGCCTCTTTGAGTCCAACAGGTAAACACAGGTCATAGTGGACAAACGCATTTTCGTGTAAACGCAAACTACGGCTGCAACCGTCGCCATCGCCACTACCGCCAATGTAAGCGACGTACGAGAGAATTATATTCGCACAAAAAACTCCGCTGTCTATCGCCAGACAGACGGACGTCATAATTATGTGATTTCCAAACACGTCGAAACGTAATTAGCGCTATATACATGTATACGTGTAGATTATATGAGCGTATCGGAAACGAATAATGGATACTGAGCTTATTACGTGATCCTGCTCGGCCACAATCACTTTATATTACATAGAAGTTCGAGTAGCTAGCTGTTCCTCTCTGTCGCTGTTATGAGTTTCTACAAACGATACATCTCTCATTTGTGGGTTCACTACTTATGTAAGAGAGTTCACCGGTTAAGACCATCCAATAGCCTTGCTAGACGCACACGCACTAGCGCACATTCTCCAATACATGAGTACCAGTTAAGTTAGATGTTACGACTGATCAACGCAAAAGTGCCCAATTTCGAACACGCGCGCGGCGACGAATGAGAGCACCTCGAGACGACAGCTCGTGTGAAAAAAGAAACGAGCTATCGTGAGAGTACGACACGGATGGAAAGGGAGGCAGCTTGAAGCCCCCGTGCGCACTACTAGCAGCGCAGATTTCGCAGTGAACGAGAACACCTCGTCTAGTCGAGCCGTCCGCCGCGCCGCTGCTCCCGCTCGCGTGCGTCAGTGGCCAAGCAGTCCTGTACCTAAAACAGCGGCGATTGTTGATCAAAAGAACACAGCGGACGCAGCGATCATCTATATTTACCTCAAACTATATAGCTAATGAAATGTTATCTACGTAAACACCACCAACCCACACGCACAAACGCACTCCAATATCCCAGCATCCAACCAGGCAATGCCCACGAGCACTACGTCGTAATTACATCCACCGCAATGATAAGACCGACATGTCAGAAACCAAATTAGTCATAACATTAACAATTTCTCCTAGACCGTCGACATCACTTTGTTTCGTATTGTTATGAGGAAATCTGCTACGATTTTTCATTCTCGTAACTTCGCAGCGTTTCTGTCAACGGTCTAGGAAAAAAAGTTAATGTAAAGACTAATGTTAAGACCAATTTTGTTTCTGACAACGGGCCCCGGATTAGCGGCCAATACGTGAAGCAGACGTGAACGGGGTAGCGCGAACAACGTATCCCGAGGCATGTCGATTTTATTTGGAGATATATTGACCGGCCCTTTGTTATGCGGGATAAAAAAAAAACGTTCAGAAGTAACTCGAGCAGCTGCTCGTTCTTTGACCCGGCACCATAAACTGACCTGATGCGTATGTTTATGTGTAATGTACCTTATGAGTACGTGATTCTGCATGCGTGGTACACACATCACAATAGCAGGACGACGACGTTAGCCCGTGCTGTGTGCATGGGCGGAGGACGCACCACCGCTGATGTGGTCGTCACAACTTCGGCAACACTTACAGGCACGCATATGCACGCGCGTACGCATACGCACACACGCGCGCACGCAAATAAATCGCGCGTGCACAGTGACACATACACAGAAACACACATGCACACGCGAACCCACAAACATGCACGCGCCCGCGCTCACCCGTCCAGATGTACACACACATACATACCCACACACAACTAGAAGTGGTTTTTTCCATTCGGAAAATTGGGCGCACGTGATGGAACAGAATTAAGGGTGGATGCAGTTACTATTAAATTCTATAGTTCAAGAACAAGCTGGAAAAACTCCGATCTGAGAAAAAATATAACAGCTAACGAATTTACTCGTAGATAGTATGACTCAATTTGTACTTAATTTAATTGAATACAAATATCTAAAAAATAAGTTTACGTCGAGCCAGTTTATATAATAAATACACATATTTCAATAAAATTTCGTAACCCAATACTAAGCTATGGCACAGCACTACATTACCGAAGAATAAACGAACAATAGCAGTTCCTATATACCCCCTCACAAACCCTGACATAACACAAATATTAACAACATCAAACACGAATCTAATGGCCTAAAATATATTAAATTACTTACATTTTTATATTGTTTTCCATATAAATGTGCAAACATACCTTTAAATCCAGTTTCCGGTGTAGATGCTGAAAAACAGGCAGATATGATGAAAAGTTATGTAAAACGCAGCCTACATTCACGTAACCAAGTCATCTAACAAAGTTATTATTATTACATCAGTTTCATATGTACAACCGTCAACATCACTAGCTTTCCCTAGTTTCAACGTTTAAACACAGTCAATGTGCATATTATTTCACACATATGCGCAAATAATTTTATTAATGCAAATTAGCCCTACGGATAACGACAGTGTAACATCTCAATTTTACTACAGCAGGTATTCAGGTTACAAAATACAGGCATATTAACACTTTCATCTTATTGCCAAGGTACACGTATTTTTGTTTAATTACCACCAATTTGGAAACTATCACGACACCATTTGATAGCTCAGTGTGTCATAGAACGCAAAATTACCCACCCCAACAGTAACAAAAACAGACCAACTCCATTGTAACCCAAATGCAACGACACAGCTATGTAAAGCATTTCCACACACACACACACATATATATATATATATATATATATATATATATATATATATATATATATATATATTAGTGAAGCGGGCGACTCTTGCAGTATCCGAATACGAGTACCTTCAACTCTGACCACGCAGGACTATTAACCTACGACAAAGCCAGAGGCGCAGACATTTTCACTTGGTATATAGGGAGGCTATAAGTGCGCGTCATGGCGTTCCCTCTACAAACAAAGCCTAACGAGCGTCGTCCTCCGACGCGAAAATACACGTCTGCGCACACACATCGTCAGTACGGCAGAAGGGATAAGGGCGAGAAAGAGGAGGGGAGGAGGATAGTATTGAGTCTCGCCCACCGTCAGCGCACCCTCCCACACACGGCAATAGCGTCTTCAACCGCCCCACACAGCCACCTCTCTCCGGCTCTCCTTTCCCCAGCTTCCCGCGACTGCGGCCTTCATCCCACTTTGTTTCACATTGGCGCGATTTCGTTCGAAATTTCAAATTTTTGCTCAATGGACGGCCAGGCGCGAGCATTGTAGGGGGGAAAACGCCGTAAAACAGTCGATTGTCGATGAAATTATGGTGGTGGCCTGTTGTACGAGTTGACACAATGCACGCGCACGCACGGAGTTAAAATGGAGAGGGACGCATACACCTTCTCACTGTAATTTGACATTTAAAAACCACCTGGTTCGTTGCGAACTCGAGCCCGATGAATGAATAACGAGTGAAGGTTTTTTCGTCGCTCACGACCGAGCGTACAAAGCTTTCACCTTCGGAGGGCTACGCGTTCGTGCTCCGTATCACGCCGGCCATCTTGTGAAGTTAAACAAAAATTTGCGCTCGCATACAATAAGGCAAATTTCGCTCACTGGGTTTTTTCACGACGTCGACACGAAGCGCACAATGCGTTCGGAATGCCCCGCACACCATGCCCGATACCGACAATAAAAAATCAATTAAAGAAACACCAAAGACGCCTAGATTCGCAACGATATCCGATTATCGTAGCATCGGATCGTTCAAATTCCAAACAGGGGTAAACTCGCAACGACATCAGGAACAGTTAAGTACATCAGATTCGAAGACGGAAAGTAAATCGCAATGAGATCATGAATGCGGTTGCTGATTATCTGATAGCTGTCGCTCACAGGCGGCGCAGGGCCGGGTCAGCGGTAACCACACGTCGGCACCGGCCGTATAACACGTGCGCATAGCGAGCGATGAGTAATCCGACGGTCACGGATCGCTTAGAGTGAGTGCGCGGCGCACACAGTTCGGCAAGTTTGCGAACAGCGGCGCAACGAATCCCCGCGAAATTGCTGCCAAAACACAGGCGGGCAGCATCTCTTCGCCCGCGCCCGCAGCCAGCCAGCCAGTCAGCCAGTCAGCCAGCCAGCCAGACAGACAGACAGACACGGATAAATTGCGGCGAAATAACGGCGGCCCATTATCGCACGCACGGCAGAAAATTGGGCGGAGCCGCCCCACGCGACCCCCCCCCCCGCCTCCACGTCCCCCATCCCCCGTCCCCGCCATCAGCTCCCCGCCCTCCGCCATTACCGTAATGGCTAACCTACACGTACCTTAAGCGTACGCACTTGTCTGTATATTTGGGTAACCTGCACACGTGTATTGTCTATGTAACCTGCACGTATTGTCTGTGTAACCTACCCGTACCGCGTGCGTAACCTGCACGTATTGTCTGTGTAACCTACACGTATTGTCTGTGTAACCTGCCCGTACCGTGTGCGTAACCTGCCCGTACCGCGTGCTTAACCTACACGTGCCGCGCGCGTGCGTACTGGTCTGTACACTAGTGCGTACATTGTGCGTAACCTGCCTATACCACGTCCGTTACCTATATGTACCGCGTGCGTGCTCGCCTGACGGACGTTAGAGGAAGGCAGAAGAACGCAAGAATAATATATGCCGTTGGGAATTCCGATATCCGTGTCAAAGAATAGCGACGAAATGCGACAGTGTGTACGAGCACTACTTATCGACGCACGCAAGCCCCCTGCGAAACGAACTGTCGCACATTCAAAGTCTATACCGCCGCGCACTACTTCATGCGTATTCTTTCTACGTTGCTCCAACGATTCACGTAATTTATATTGATTCAGAGATTAAAACAAATCTAACCCTATTAAAATATAACCCGCGCATTTGACGGGCAGGGATATGTTTGTTCTGTGTGAAAAAACTTTTGTATGAGAGAGAACAGGAACGCTCCACCTGATGCTAATGCGTGCTGTCAACACTAGCCGACCTTGCTAACGATGAGGTACAATATAATTAGCAGTTCCTGTGCACCCTTAAAAATACCTTCAGTCACTGCTAGCTGTATCTCTCTATCTGAGACGGCACATCGAACCTTTACATTAGTCTGCATTTCATCGTATGTACTGTCAAACCAGTTGCCTCGTTAGAGTTAAATATATGCGCTAATTTCGTGGATTACATCTTAACCGCAGAATTGAGCCAAACAAAAGATGTTATGACGAAAACAAACCAAAACAGATATCAGAAACAAACCTATATCAAATTTATTTGCGAGAGAAGAGGACGAAATTCTTGCCCCAATTATGTGCGTGTAACTGAATTTTTTTCTATACTCTGCCGAAATTAAAACAGTATACATGTGCAATGCATCATAAATGTATAATAATTAATATCATGTACATGTGATGCATTATTTACATGTATTATGAGTGCATACGTGCAAGCGGGTATATAACATGTATGATGTATAGCAATAAATAACAGGAATCTAAGATACATAAATTCAACACGAATCAAAGTTGTTTTTAATTTTTATATATAATGGGCAACAATACTTAATTTAAAAGTATGCAATTGAATATACATCAATAAATCAGGTCAAATTAAATAAGAATATTGTTGTTGCACTTAATTTAACTAAATATTTTCAATAAAATATTCAGTAATAATATAAATCAGATAATTCAGGTAACTAATAATACACGTACTACGATACACATTATAGTGTTAGGTTTTCGACATCACACAGTGTATTGTTGAAAGCTCGGTAACAATACAGAGTCAAGGTAGATCCGCACGAATAATACAGATAAAGTGTTGCATCCGTAACTAACACATAATTAAGTGTCTTAAAGTACACTAAAATTATCTGCATAAATATTTTAAACACATTTAAGTAATGTGCTAAATAATTATTTTCGCATCAGCAAAACTTACACAGACAGTGCTTAGACATGTAGTTGTATTGCTGCAGTTAATTTGAGGAGAAAAGTTCGGATCAAGACACTATCACTTTTAAATCTCTCGCAATACGTGAAATAATTCTTCATGAATTATACATTAACATTAATTGAACTATAGCCTTCGATAAGTAGATTTAGTGCGTTTAAGCTATATGTTGTCGTTCGCTCAGTATAAATATACGCTACAGAAATTCGTATAAGCTCAGTGTAATGTTCGCTAGCAAACGCAATTAAATCATCAATGTCCCCAATAATGGGCAAATTATTTAATGCAAATGAGTATGTGTGTGTGTGTGTGCGCGCGCGTGTGTGTGTGTGTGTGTGTGTGTGTGTGTGTGTGTGTGTGTGTGTGTGTGGTGTGTGCGTGCGTGCGTGCGTGCGTGTGTGTGTCTAATTTGATAATATTCAGTCGCCTTTATAGTAAGGAAAGTGTCAATGGCACTGTAGCTCACCTTGGGTGTGATAGAAGATCCATCTCTATAGGTCTCTCCCATAGGAGTAACAACTGTTTTGGGGCTAGCCTTACACATTCACATACCAACATTTAACAAAATCGAATGAATCTAGATCTATGGCCATTTTCATTGTTGCCAAAAAGTGGGCGTGGCTCGAAAGTAGGTCGACTGGCGTGCTCCAAAATAGGACGTTCAGATCTCTCCCATAGGAGTAACAACTGTATTGAATGGTAAACATGATGGGTCAAACGGCTTTTTGAGTTATCATTGACCGTAGGCAGACACTGAAATGCATAGTGAAATTGACAAAATCTACCTAATTTGCATAATAAAAAAAAAAAATCAAGAACCTGTGTGATATGTTTTGGGGCCAGTTCCTTATTTATTCGCATACCAAAAATGAAGGCAAAATGCCGTTGAACGCTGATACTTGACTTATGCACCAGTATTTGAAGTTTTACCAAAAAGTCGGGCGTCGGCTCGAAACGTTGTACGCGTTCAACTGGCGTGCTCCCAAAATAAGAACGTTTCACAATCTCTCTCCATAAGGAGTAACAAACAGTATGCAATTTCAAAACATGTGGGCCGTTGCTTGAGTTATCGGTTACCGTAAGCCAAATGTTGAACGGACCGGACGGACTGACGTACGGACGGACGACCGCCCCCATGGCAACCTAGCCTCAATCTTTGACGATTGTCAAGGTGACTCTAAAAAACAATTAATATCATATTATATATATATATATAATATATATATATATAGATATTATATATAATATTATATATTTATATATATATTTATAATATATATATGTTGTGTGTGTGTGTGTGTG